CATTCTGAGCTGGATTCTGGGCAGTCTCACATACAACATCAGGCTTGTGTCGGGCTCGGGTTTGTTTTCTATTGAGTGATTTTTATGATGTAGAATTCTTTTTTAATAAATTTGCCTACATCTTAGAGTTTTCACAACAAAATAAATGCTAATACCAATTCTAGTAGCTTTTTCTTGTTTACCCAATTTACTCAATGAAGTAAATAATTAGAATCTGTTGTCTGCACTAAAAATATATTTAGTTGAGCTAACATAAGAATGTTTATTGTCCTAAGAAGTACAATTAGTCAAAACTCTTTGAGTCATACCAACATTCCTACTTTCGCATTTACAGCATTTGGCAGATGCTTTTATTCAGATTGATGTAAGATTTTATTCATGTTACAGAGGTAAGAGTATGTAGTGATAAGCATTTTGCTCAAGGACTCTTTTTGATGTAGCATGGTGTTCTTGCACAAGCTGGAAACTGAACTCTGGTCTGAACCAATGGTGGGGTTATGTATATGCATGTTTTGTATATGAATTGTGTACAATAAAGTTAGTCTGTGTGTGTCATTTACTATGTTTACATGTACACAGACTAACTTTATTGTATGAATGAACCACACACATATATATTTTTACTGGCACTATGACATTCTGCCCTCTATTCTAGTCACTCTCAAATGTTAATCTGTCTCATAGAACAATCATCACACAGGCTGGTATAATCTCTTCCATGCAAAGTTTGTCTGATACCACTGCTGTCCTGTGCTGCACTGAGCCAAATGTTCTTACACACACACACACACACACACACACACACTGTGTCACTGATACTAAGTGTAAAGTTATCCTAATTTGCGTCTCTAAAGAAAGCTAATCCGTTGTACAGAAATAACTAATCTGAAAAGAGCAAGTGCCATTCTTAGGCTTGCAAATCCTGTTAGCAACGGCTTGATTACCTTCCTCGGCTAAAGACCTCCCTCAGGACTTCCTGTGCAAGTTCTGTAAGTTCTGTTGCAAAGCTGACCTCATAACAAGGTCAAACGCTGGCCATGCACTTCATTTCCTTTAGCATGTGCTTTATATTTCATGCTGACAGGGTCAGGAAGGAATAATATGATCATGGTGAATAATTCATTTTACTAATAACATTCCACATGTGCAAGTTTTCATGCTGTTAATAGTGCAAAAAGCACTAATCAATAAATCATTATGATCACTGAGAGCATTAGATGGGGAATTATGAAATGGTAGGTAGTGAATAACAGAAATGAAAAAATAATGCTTCTCTGCTTCTGCACAATGGATAGCACAAATTATGGCAATCACCTGAAGCTCTTAATATAAAATTATCTCTTACATAATTGACTGTTGGAATCAAAATATGCTCTAGTCTCCTTTATTTTTGGTGTTTAAGAGATACATTGCAATGAAAAGGGTTCTTCAATTGTTTTCAACAGATTTTTACTGTATGAAAAAGTTCTTTGTAGTTTTGTCATGGGTTTAAAGTGCTATACTCTCTTAAAAAAGTCTCCTTTAATGCATGCATTTATAAGAAGTGCAAACATTTAATCAGAAAAAAAGCTTTCTGTGTACTCAGAAAGCCTTAAAATTAAAAGGAAGGTCAGTTTTGCACTTGACAGAAAATATAGCAAAGTCTCTGTGTAAAGTTAAGATTGATAGCCAAGCAGTCCTGATAAGCAATACAACAGCATTTAAACCATTACACTTACAGATCACACCATGATGTAAAAGAACATAAGGATACATCGAATGATATAATGCACTTTAAAGATCTGATTGTTTTGATACTGTTTTCTTTTGGTTACAAAACTACACACAGTATGATGTACAGTTCAGTTTCACCATATTAATGACACAGTAATATGTGAAGAATGCTTTCAGTAAAGCAGCAGTGGTGCAGCGGTTAATGGCACCACATTGCTAATCAGAATCCCACAGAGAGCAGCAAGAAACATCAAGGACAGTCTAATCAGAACCTTTCAATCAGCATGAACACTTTGTGGTATACTGTGCATCTCTCTGTGGGTTATTAGACATAATGTACAGTGCTGAGTACTAATAAAGGTAGGACTGGGTATAAAAATGAATCACTTTTATAGTACTGACCAAATTACTCCGACACTACTGAGTGTACAAAAATTCTATGTCATTCAACAACAAATTTCAACACTGATCTATCAGCACCCGTGAACCAATAAGCATACTTGTCCAAATATCTAGACTGATGATTGGCTGCCTAAATTACACTCCATATGCATGTTAGTCAGCACTTGATTAGTCTGCAATCCATTGAGATTCGCAAACATATGAACTTCTATCACTTCACATGAGTTTTGTTTGAGCTGCACCACTTCTGGCTTCTAAAAAAAAGAGCTCAGGAGCTGGTTCTGGAGTCAAGGTAACAGTATTGGTATCAGTATCGAAACAATTAGAACGACAAACATCCCTAAACAGAGGAATATGGTTTGTCTACGATTGCTTCTCATTCTAATTCTGATCTTTAGACATCATCACCTGACCACACCTAAGATCTTTATCCTCCATTCTATCTCATTATCTATGTAAAACAAGAGCCATATCAAAGACAGTCTATGAGACATGACTTATGTTTCAAATGGCATTTGGAATATAATGAGCTTTTGTAAAAGAATAACGGCTGACTTATAATAGAACACATTTTTATTTTTTTAATAAAGATTGTATTAACTGTAAAATAGCCCTGATGCTACTTGTATGTGAAAAGCCCACTCCTGACAATGTATATCATGAAGAAAATGAAAATTATTGAAAGTGGTCTACAATACATTTTAGAATGAAACCCTTCACCCTTTACTCTTACATGGGCTTCAATATCACGTTTGTAACATGTATAATATACCATCCATCATATACCGTCACATATTTTCCATTGATTTAGATCACAGTATATTGACAAAATTTCACTGCAATACTTTCCGTCTGTCAATAAAACCTACGCAGTTGTCTCAAGAATCATGGTGCCATTGTCCATCGACTCCACACTTTAGCACGTGTCCTACCCATTATTGGCCATGAGGGACTCCTCTTTTCTAAAGAATGGCAGCGACCAGGCAAGAGAGCTAGCTCATCTGTTCATCTTCCTATTTACCACAGTGAATTGGACACGGTTACCATGAAGTCAGCCTGGTCTCATATGGTGGTACGCTCACTGGCCGTTAAGGGAGGCTGACATTGTGTCTACACCAGGTGCGATTCAGTCTCCACACAATGTTTGGCATGAAGCTAATCAACAGCCTCAAGGTAATGAACACATATAAAATGCTGTAAGAATATGCAGTATTATGCAGCCATGCAATGACTTCTACATACACAATGCTATGTAAAATGAGGATACAATATACCATAAGAGCACTGGATTTAGAAAGCTCTAACAGATGTGCACTTCCGTCTACAACCTAATGGACAGCATAACTGTATTCCTCATGCACAGATGAGTTGTAAGCACTCAGATAGCTTTCTAATCGATACTGCCGGCCCTCAACATTTGCTGACTCAAAAGCACCAAAAGCAGCTTCCAGTTATAAGTTCTTGTCAGGAAGACATCGACAGTTATTTCCTGCAGTAAACAGACCGTAGTGTTGTGCTCCGTCAGCAACTAATTTATACTGTGTTAGAGACTTAAGATAGATTACATTTTAGTCTGTTTGTCAGTCATGTACAATCATTTATTGTGTTACTGCCTTATTTTTTGCCACAGCACTATGAACTCAGGTTGGCACTGAAGTAATATTTTAATGCACATATTGTTCTTTGCATGGTCAAATGGTGGAAAAACAGCTGTATATGTTCCCTTAAATGAACTTCTTTTAAAAAACAGCTCTACATAGCACCATGCTATTGTCATAGAAGCATTTTTTGGTAACTGTACTGGCATAGTATAAAAAAGGCAGAAAAAAAAACAAAAACAAATATGTTTTTTAATTGTTTCTACTACAACACATCTAAGAACCAAGGAGGAACTTAAAAGGGAAATCCACCGATTTTTCAAAATGTCTGAATAATTCAGTCATTGGGATGTAAAGAGTCATTCAGAGTGGTTTGATGTGAAGTGGTTCATCGTAGAGAAACATAGACTCAGATTTCTTTATAGTGGTGGTGACAGGAACCAGGGGTGACAGTTACAATGTCTACAACACAAATATAGCCATTTTATTTACTATCCAAAACTACCAGTGAACCTACACCTGTCTTCAGAGTTTTATATGTAATGTCGATGATGGTAAAATAATAAAAATCTGAAAAAGTATGTTTTCTTTGTGGACTATTTTGCCTTACAACGCCATGCATGTACCCCTCCGCCAGGAATGAATTAAAATAAATGGATTAAAATACATTTTAAACAAAGTCTTTATCACAAAACTGTCATCGAACAATGTGTCAGACATCAGGCAGCATATATCTAGCCATTTCATGTAATGACTTTCTGTGAGAAAGGTTTCAGAGACATTAAACTCTTCAGAGGTCTGGTTCCTATCACCTCCACTGTGAACAATTCTGACTCTATAAGATTCTCTAGAACAGAGCATTTCCACATCAAACCACTCTGAATGACTTTGTTTACATGTCAGCCATTTAATTATGTAGAGTTGTTTAAAAATGGGTGAAGTTCCCCTTTAAGTGAACAAGTACTGGCCAACAGCACTTTATCGTGGAGGAAGAACTCAGACATAAAAGGCCCTGATTACCTCAACAGTCTAAAGAAGACATGGGTCTGTGGCTCTTCAGCACCCTGGACAGCACTACTAACACGAGGCAACAAATGACCATCATACAAAACAATGCTTCCATGCAACCACTGCACTTATGCTATATAACTATATGCAACACCCGATTAATGAATTGTCACAAAGCTGTGAATCATATAGCTGACACCTCGATAAAAACATATAAGCCAAGGCTAAGAGCCGAGTGATACGACCAAGAGCGTAAAAGAAAAAAGTGAGAGCACTTACCATGTTGACCTCAGACACCATGTCTATGCTCGCCACGTCAATACTCATCCCGACCGCAACCGGTGGGCCTTGAAGGAGCAGAGAAAACTTATGACCACCACCCCGATCAACACGTAGTTTTCCAATATCACAAGAACAGCTCACAACAACTTCTACATAACTTGAAGAAAAAAAAGTGAGCAAAGCTCTGAGGCTGAGCCCGAACGTACCTCCAAAGTCAGGTCGAAGACGAATGTCATATCCTTTCAACAGCTTGTCCACTGTCTCTTTGACAAAAGACATATTGCCTGGTTCGTTGGCGCTGGAAGAAAATAAAAAAAAACAAAAGAACAACTGTTTGGCTCATGTCTCAAACGACGGCACTTCCAAGCTCACCGGTCGCCAGCTGCACTTACCTCTGAGCACAGCACATCACAGCCACAAGCACCGGCACTGAAAGAACACCAAACAGCCTTCGTTTCTGTACCCCGATCATTCCTTATTCTTTCTGACAAGGAATCGAGTGAGCAAACGGACGTTGTGAGGTTTCCCAGTGTCTGCCGCCCGGCTACAGGTCTCCACTGCTTAACGCTACTCCATCAGTGCCTCCCTGCTGATGAAGTCATTTTTGACTCCGGCAGCGTTGGGATGGGAGGGAGAGAAGTAGTCGCAGTCCGGCTTTTCGCTCTTCTCTGGAGACGCTGCGTTGCTCGTGAACTGCCACGCATCGTGCCCACAGACTCTACGGACAGCGGCCGTAAGGGAGTCGGTGTTTGGGGATAAGCCAAACCTCCATCCTTCGGTTCTCACACCTGGCTGTTGTGATGCCCCCCCCCCAAAAAAAACAACAACAACAACAAAAAACACCCACTACTAAAGTCCCAGGGAGCTGTTTTGCTGAGTTTTCTTACACGTTGAGACTAAAATTGTACAGGTCGGTTAGTTTGGGTGAGCGCGCGCAGCACAGACCTTCTAAAATGCGCGGGAAAAAGAAAAAAAAAACACGACATGAAGACGGAGAAGAAGAATATGGCTGAGAGTTGGGGATTTAAATCCTTCACCTCCAAGCCTGGCTACTGCCTGCTAACGACAGTAAGTGAAGTGTGGGCTCCACGCTGCCCACAGTTTGAGGAAACTCACGCCATTAAGACTTCGCCTCAGACGAGGCGGTCACGTGACTCAACGGTTGGCTAGCAACGGCGGCGCGCGTGCGGGTTTTACCAACGGTTTTTGTCCATTCTAAAGAGAGTTATGGCGTTTCTTTAAAAGATGTCCGTGTCTATGGTGTCCACCTGAACGGCGTTTTATTTAACATCGTTTTATTGGGCTATATTATTTGAAACGCTGCCACGAAAACGTACATCTATTGCGTAATTTCTGTCAAAATAAGGAAAAGCGGAGGAAAAGAGGAAGTGTGGGCACAGCGTTACCGAAGCCCACGCTGACAGTGCTTTGAATCGACAAGTGTGCCTATTGGTGCCATACATGAATACATGAGTACAATTCATTACATGAGCGCAATTAATGACAAAAATAAGTATTTCTTGTGTGTGTGTATATATATATATATATATATATATATATATATATATATATATATATATATACACTTTGCAAAAGTACTTCAGTACACTGTTAAAACCATTTATGTTGCTCGTAAGTGTGTTTGTGCTTGTAAAAACACCATATATCATTAAAACAGATGTAAACAAACACAAATACAGTAAAAAAATAACATGAAATTCTTACTTAATTTATATATATATATATATATATATATATATATATATATATATATATATATATATATATATGTGTGTGTGTGTGTGTGTGTGTGTGTGTGTGTTTGTGTGTGTATTCAGAACATGAGGTATTACTGTGTGGGGGGTAAGATGGGCAATCACACTGGGGCCCATGTCACCTCACTTTTTGTGACCTAAAATCTTTATTGGGCACCTCATATAATACTGACAAAATTGTACTTGATTCTTAACAACATCCCTCACTAGTTAGCTTCCATCAACATTATACAGACAGCTCTGATTCTCTATTTTTCTACTTCTCATCTACACTAACTATTTCCAAGCAGATCCTTCACAACCTACATTAGGATCTGTTAATTATTTATAAATCTTAAATAGGTAGTCTGATGTAAACATTTAGGTTTAGGTGCTAGTTGGTAGAGTGGAAGCATATTACATTATCATTGGAAGTCATTTTCATATGGGGGCATATTATGTTTTTGCACTGGGACCCACAGGATCGTTGTTATGCCACCTGGCTGAGCGTTTTTTGGTATGCATAACAGTCTCCGTTTGTCTATGACTGCAGTACATTCCAAAAAACAACTCTCTCTGACTTGGCTGGCAGACCCACATATCAGCCCGGGCTTGTGTAAGAAGGCAGTAGTGGAGAACTGGCTCAGAGATTACATAGGCACTGAGCAGAGACTTGTGGTCTTATCTCTTAACTTCATCCTTTACAACTCAGCGACATGGAAGGTAGACAGTTTAAGAGCTGATCCCTCAAACGCCAGAGCATTGTATTTGTGACAGCTTTCATCTGAGCTGTCATGACTGTTAAGTACCCAGCACTCTTCCATTCATTTGAATGTTACGGATACAGGTAGTGTCTCTCTCTCGCGCTCTCTCTCTCTCTCTCTCTCTCTCTCTCTCTCTCTCTCTCTCTCTCTCTCTCTCTTTCTCTGAAGAGAGATGGAAACCACAGAGTCTGTGGGATGGTTTCAAATGCCTGTGCTTTAGGCAGTCATTAAAGCACAAGCACTGTACACACACACACATGCACACACACACACACACACACACACAAACACACACACACACACAAACACAAATGATAAATAGATCATCATGCTACACACAAGGGAGAGAAATAAGGCTCCTTTAATGACGCTTTGTGTGATGAAACCAATATGATCTATCACTTGTCTTCACCTGCTCTCTCCATCAATGGATATTAAGCCCTTTACAGTGGCCTCCAGACAGATCTTATAATCCATAATCAGATTTTCGGGGAGGCCTGACAGTCTGCTGAAGATTAAGCCTTAGTAAAATGGCTGCTACAGGGCCTTAAAAACTTATCAAGCTGATAAAACAATCTCGTTAAGTTGATCTGTTTTCATTAGAATGGCACACCCTGGTCAGAGTGAATGGGGAGGCTGTGGACAAGAGCCGTTTGTGGATTGGACACAAACTCAGACAGTGGTGGAAGTGTGTCTGGGGCCATCTCAAATCGCTCCCGCTCCATTAGATCTGGAACGTGGCGTGGGCGCGGCGTGATTGCACCCTAATGGCTTTGGAGGCGCGCTCCGGAAGCTCGGGGCTGGGGATTCTACTTCTCGGCACAGCTCTACAGCTGGGAGGCGAGCTTCAAGGATGCTCATGTGTCATATGCTTCAAGGAGGCTCAGACAGTCCCAGGTGGGATGGACCTTTCCAAGATGTCCGACTGAAGTGGAGGATTATTTTAGGAGGATGCTAATGTTAATGGGTTAGATCACTTCAGTGAAGGTTTGGTCAATCTACTGACCCAGAAGATATGACACTTCTTAAAAACAGATGTGTCAAAAAAGGGTTTTGTAGCGATTCCATGAAATAAAAATCTTCTATTCTTGAAAAAACCTTATAATGGATGGCTCTTGAAGGGCCATTATCCCAAAGCATCATTTTAAAGTTTAAAGAACTTCCACATCATGTAAATGTTTTTTTTCTTGGAACCATAGATCCAAGGTAAAAAAACAATTAGGAACGTTTAATTTTTAAGAGTATGATCTAAGAATATATGAATATTGGCAGTGCAATACTATGCATTCCATTACATCCTGGTGGAAGGTTTGTATCTTTTGTTTTGTCAATCATTTATATAATTAGAGCCCATATGACTTCTAGAGTAATCAACCTTCATGCTAGGCTCAAATCCTTTAGGTTGTAAAACTGGTAGTGGGGGCAAATGTGGTTACTAAATAAAGGCAACCAAATTCTTAAACTGCCACTTGCTTTTTCCACACATATATGGAGGCAGTTCTTTTGCTCCTAGCAGCATAGCCATTTTGCAAAAAATCAGTCCTTTCAAAGAGGGAAAAACATGCGTTGGGTGCTCTCTCTGCAGCACATACCCACACACGCCCACGAGTCATCATCCAAACAAAGCAGCCCACTCACGCACCATGATCTGTCTGAAAAAGCAAAGGTTCCTGGGAGTGTGGGCTGAGCAAATGGCACCAAGTCACAGTCATACAGCGAGCCAAATGCTGTTAAAGCATTTAAAGCGATGCTAGTCAACCAAATAGGCCGTGGGTGGACCTAGGACCTTCAGTACCATCTCCGTCTCCATGGCCAGCGTCTCCAGGTCCAAGGGTGTCTTTGATCCGTTGGACCTCCTGATCCCGTGACAGAACACATCACACATGCTTATATGGCATTTTGCGTCACTATATTTAATTCCTCCCACAAGGGGTACACAGTGTTGCTATCTATGCTGTCTCTGATCCACTGAAGGGGAAAAGTAGTACAACATCACTGGGGGAGAATGAAAACACGGCAGCGCCGGGTTCCCCTGTAAAGGTTTTGCCTTCCATTTATGTCAAGTTGCAGATGCAGCAGATACCTTCCCAGATTGAATGGACACAGATAAATAGATCCTGTGGATGAAGCGAATATCGTGCGGAACCGAATGAATAATGCATGTACGCTGCTGACATTGGAGGCCTGATTTGTTTTAGATTGAGACGGGCTTGTTCCAAGTCTCTCGCAATAGCTATTGAAACCTTCAAGGGATTCAGGCGGCTGCGAAGAGCAAGGCAGATGGCTACGCAGGTGCAGTATATGAGGATGCTCAGCGAATACACTAACCCACAGGCTTGTCTGCTTTATTCATAGTACACTTTTGCACATATGATTATGAAGATTAATTGCTTACCTTGTGTCATAGATTGCAAAAAGCTTTTTATTTCCATCCACTGCATTCCTGAAAAACACAAAGGAATGAAACATTACTAATCACTTTTATGTGACATTAACATTGTTAACTAGTTAAAGGGGAACTCCACTGATTCTTTAGAACATCTGCATAATTAAATGATTAAGATGCAAACAAATTCCTTCGGTCTGGGCTGATGGGAAATCCTCTTTTATATAAAAACATACCGAGTCCAGATTTTAAACTGTAGTGGTGATAGGAACCAGGCATTCAAAGAGTTTAATGAAATAATTTTTTTTTACATGGTTAGGGATATATTGTTTCAGACATTGTTTTTATGATAGTTTTGTGATTTTGGCCTAAGACATATTTCTAAAGGCTTTCATGGTGGTCAGGTACAGGTAGGGCATTGTAAGGCAAAATGGGCTTTTTTAGGATTTGCCACTATTTTACCATTGACAATATTACATATAAAAACTCTTATGTAGGTTAACAAGTTGTTTTTTTAATCAAAATGACTACATTTACCTTGATTCCACCTGGTTCCTATTACCACCACTGTAAAAATTCCAAGTCAGTAAATTTCTCTACAATGCAATTTCACATGAAACCAACTACAGTGTTAAAATGTGAGTTATGTAGAATTGTGTGTAAATTCCCCTTTAACAGTTAGTTAGATGGTATGCAAGCATACATATAAGACCCATGCTATGAGTACATTTATATTAAAATATAACAGTAGTGACATTTATTTAATTCAATGTCTGCATGTTGACGTTTTTCACATGTGCAAATTCTTTCTCAAAACAGTGTGTTTTCTCCCACACTACAAGTTCATCTAGCTGTCATGCCCCAGAAATGAACGTGCAGGTTTCTAATATAATGACTACCGGCGCCTGTGAAAGATTTCCTGCCATTGTATGGTTGAGGGAACAAGTGGCAAAAGTCATCATATCATGGACCAGTAGTCATTTCTGAGAAAATAACATTTGGTGGTTTTTGGGTGGGGTGGTAGGGAGTTCAACAAATAGTAATTCTGCTACTGTAATACTGAACTACAGCCAGTTCAAATAAGCATGACTGAGGCTCAGTGGCGCCCCATTAACCCCACACTCTTGTATTCAAGCTCTGATTAACAAACACACCCATACACACATCCACAGATGGATGCACAGGATCGGGCTGATCTGGAACTCACACGGCACAGGTGGACTGTCACAGCTGTTGTTGTGACGAGGTCTCTGGGGTTTTACATCAATAAAGTCAAACAGCATTCAGACACAAACATTCCAAAAATGAATCACAGTCCAGACATCAGCTCAGCTCAGCAGATAAACACCTCAGATCCCCTGTCGAATAACAGCACAGCACTGCTCCTCCGACATGACATACACCTGATTATCATTTTGTCACAGTAAACTTTGCTTTACAAAGCAATATGGCAAAAACTACATATGTATTTTCACACTTGCGTAGAACAATGGTTTACACTCCACACTCTTTCCGACAGCTACTGAACGTTTGATTTTCACACATCGTGCACGTGTAATGAATTTCAGGCTATATAGGTTTGAATCACTCACAAAAACTGGTTTTAAATAGGTCTGTTGTTTGGTCCTTGTTGTTTGTTCAGCATTAGCTGACGGCTATAACCCTGTTACCGCTAGAAGTAGATGATTTTAGACTTATCTTGACTAAAGAACAAATTTAATCCAAAGTATGGATTTGAATTTTGAATATGCTGCCTCGTGCCTTAGACACTGTTTTATGATAGTTCTGAGATGAGGTTATGTCCTAAAACGTATTTTTAAAATCCATTCATGGTGTGGAAGCACTTGCAGGGCCTTATGAGGCAAAATAGTCTCTGAAGAAAACTTTTCTTTTTTTCAGATTTACCACTATTTTACCTTCACCAACATTACATACAAAAACCCAGAAGACATGTGTAGGTACTCCTGCCATTTTGATAGTCAATAAACTGGCTATTTGTATTGTAGATATCACAGCCTTTTGGTTCATATCACCACCTATGCTAAGAAACTTGAGGCAAGTTTCTCTACAGTAATCCATTTCACATCAAAGGACTCTGAATTACACATAGAATTGTGTGTAACTTAGCGCAAATGCCCTTTAAGGGAGGTCTTTTTTCCTTTGCGCTGCCCCTCAGCTATCTAGTTCCCTCTGTGTGTGACACTGGATCACAGGTAGGCAACTATGTGTTGATCTACTGGCTGAGTTCTAGCACTGCAGAGTGACAGGGAGCATCAGAAAAAATGGGATTAGAGTTCCCTCTGATGGTTATGCTCATTACTACTATCTGGTACCCCTCCTCCACAAACACATACACACAACCACACACAGGGACTCAATACCATGCACATGTTTCATTGCAGAAACCCTCTCTGTCCCTCACAAACCTTCCTGTCTAAGCTCAGGCCTGTCCATCATCCAGCCTAATGTGGTGACCTGATACCATAACCCTGTCCACCTGGCCCCTTTCACTGTAAATCCTCTCCAGTTCAGTTCCACTGTACTTGTGCCCTGTGCCTCTGTGGCAGCTCTAGGCAAAATACTAATGAGGGAAACCTCAAAACTGTCGCCAACAAACTGCTAGCATGTTAACGCTGTACAAATAAAGGCAGACTTTATTGGAAATTCAGTTGAAATCTGAATGTTTTAATATTGTTTTTGCACGCGTGTGGGATTTGTAGTCCCCTTCCCCCTTTGGCTCAGGGGAGGCTGCTGATTGGCGCGTGAGAAAACGCAGAATAAGCAGAAATGTTGGGAAATCCACTCGTTTTGCGTTAGCATTTTTTAGCCCCAGGGCGACTGTGTTTTCCCCCTGTCCTCTAAAAGAGCTTACAGTCAAGTTCCTCCACGTCTTCCCTCCCGTCCTTATCCCACCTGGGGGAAATTATGGAGGAGGTGGCGCGCCTTCTGTGCTTTCACTCCGATTCCCAGTACGAACCAGAACCAGTGCGGCTGGAGTAGGTCCAGCAGTTGGGGCTGGAAACCACATACGCCGCCTAGCGGTGAGAGGAGGAACTTGCTACTCTGCAAAAGCCTGGCGGGATCTCCAGCAGAAAACAGCGTTCTGTCACATTTCAGGAGGGGGAAAAGTGGTGGTCTATTGAAAGGGGTGCATGCAGTGTGAAACAAAGACAAAGGCAGAGCGGGAGCAGCTAGACGGGGTGTGAACGCGCACACTGCCGCACCGCGCGCTGCTTTTGTGCTGTGTGTGCTCGTAACAGCGCAGCGTTGCAGGAGTGATGGGGAGGAAGGCGAGAGGGGTTTCGTGTGCAGCGGCTGCTCAGTCCTGAGTGCTGAAGGAAGGAGGAGAGAGGAGAGGAGGACGGAGAGGAGCTCTGAGGCTCCACACTGCGGGCTCTGCGGCCACTTCTGGAGGAATCCGCTACGGCTCAGGAAGGCGTCAGCTGCACCAGCAGGTAAAGCCTTTCACGCGGCTTTTCCGTTCCCATATGGCTTTTTAAAATATGAATGGATTCAGTTTTTGTCTTGCAGCTGCTCCGCGGAACACAGCAGCTTTAAAACTAGAACTGCTGCAAACTGAGTTTAAGACGCTGGGAGACGGTAAATGACGGTGTAGAGCAATTAAAGGCTGCTGCAGACGTTACTGTGTGGAATATTGAACATTGTCTCAAAGCCATGTTACTTAATCATTTATCAGGTTACTGATGCACTCTGATTAATTCAGTAATGAGGGGGCTGTTTGGTTTCTGTGGGGTAGACATTAAAATGGTAGCTTTTGTTTACTCCAGACTCACTGACTGGCATACTAATGTCCATTAGGCTACAGTACTTTTGTCCTGGGCTGATGTTTTAAGTAGTTGGCCAGTGGCTGAGCTACAGCAGCCCCGTGACCCGAGGTGGTCGTCTGCGTGAGTAGAAACTGATGAGGCGTTATTTATTATGACTGAGCAACAACAACAAAAACAAAAGAGAATAACAGGAATAAAGAAAACAAATAATAATCACAATTATTATTATTATTATTATTGCATATGTATATATATATATATATATATATATATATATATATATATATATATATATGTGTGTGTGTGTGTGTGTGTGTGTAATTATACTTGTTTTTTGTCATAACCTGGACATGAGTTCTCTTCTTCCTCAAACTCTCTTCTCTGCTGTGGTCTATGTTGCTGTACATCAGTCTACACCAGCAGTGCGGATGGTTTAGTTTCAGAGTGCCAGTACAGTTTGATATTCTGGGGGTCTCTCTTTTTTGGTGCTCATCCTCAGCTGTTTGGCTGGGCTGCCAGTGTGGTGAGTCACTTGGCTCTGTTTTGCAGGTATGGGCTATGAGGCACACTGCAGCGCTGCAATGAGAAGCGTGTGGGTCACTGCTGTCTTCGTCTCCTTCACATGGCGTCTCAGGTACAGTACTACAGCAGCACTAGAGTTCGTACCACTGGCCCATGTGGGGTCCGTGCATGTAGAAACCTTTCCAGTGTATCATTTCGAACATATTTGCCATTTTTCACTGTGTTCATCAATAATTGCTATTTTGTCTGCAGACTTCACTTTTGAACTACTGTGCAGAATCAAAACTGCTCTTCTGTGTTTTAAAAACACATGAATTAAAGGATTTATTCCTAAAATGAGATTGAGTTCATTAGTGCCATGCCAGGGGTGCAGTTCTTGAAGTGGATTACAGTGTGACGGTGTGTGTTTCTGATCCAGCCTCTGCCAGACGGCCACAGGGACTCCTAATGAGGCCGAGCTGAATGACAACATCACAGTTTTCACACGCATCCTGGACGGGCTGCTGGATGGCTATGATAACAGGCTGCGGCCGGGCCTGGGAGGTAAATTCTGCACAGACACCAACTACTCTCTGCTGGAGCACACACTTTAAAAAACTGTACTTTTTTAGGGTACAAACACTGAATAATCTCTCAAGGGTACCTATTCAGTACCATTAGTTAGGAAACATAATTGTATTCGATTTCAATTATATTTTTAAGTTGCATTGGTTCCATACACCCCGTCTTTTCTCTAGGCTTTTTAATTTATTTCGCTACTTAAAAAAAGTTAAAAAAGGTACAAAAATGCCCCCTGGGAAAGTGAAAATATTGTACCTTTATAACCAATTTAAGGTACCTAATTGGATCATAAAGGACATGTTGTACATTTGATTTGCATTTACGCTGTTTGGGAAAGTAAATTTTCCTGGACAGTGCTTTTTATTCTTTAGGGTAAATCTCAAGTGTGTACACTAGAGCTCCCTGTATACTGTATGTATCTGCTTATGTACTGTACATTGCCAATAAGGCAGCAAGTCAGTACCTTATGAAAATCTTTCTGAATGCTGAAGTGATATATGACTATGAAGCATTCTCATTGTATGGTTAAGGGAGGGAAGATGGAGGAGAATGGGGCGAGTAGAAAAACATGACTCTCTATTCATCCCAGCCAATGAGATGTTTTAACACGACAAAAGTAATCACTGTAACGTCGAGGTCCTCAGTGCATTTCAAGCGTCTTTGCCAGAGCTCCGAATCGAAGAGTTCCTGAGCAAGAGAGAAAGACTGTGTGTGCATGAGAGAAAGAGAACGCGTGAGAGAGAGAGAGCAGCTGAAAGTGTGGATGCTGACCTTGAAAAAGCGATCGCTCTTTTCAGAGGGGGAAGGTTCATTGTTCTCTGAGGACTGAACCATGGCAGAGAAAGAGAGATGGAGCGAGAGAGGGAGAGAGAGAGACCCTGGCCTGCTCTATTCATGCAGTAGCGTTGGAGAGCCGGACACGCATCTCCAGCGGCTGCTGTGTGACGTTTGTAGACAAAAGATGGCATTGGACATGATTTAAAAGCGAGCTGTAATTGGAGCTGAGGAATTCGTCTCTTTCAGAGATGGTTTGTCTATGAGGAGAGCACATTCAGTGCTGTTCACTTCTGCTCAGGTTTATTCATTCTTTATAAACTACCATCAGGTTTGAATTTTTTAATGAAAATCGAACGGTTTGCACATAATCTGCTTTTCATGAGACTTTGAACTAAAATATTCAATGTGTTTATCAATATTTTATTTCTCCTTCAGTGTGCAACAAGTCAATCAATATTGCAAACCCTCAGAAGACATTTTTTATATGTGGCATTGCTTTTGATACGGAAATACAGGAATACATTTTTAAATGTATTTCAGGTTTTGAAAGACATGAAAACTACAGCCATCTTGAGTAAAACCACTACACAGGTAAATCCAGGGTTCCCTGGAGATCCGTAAGAAGTCTTAGAAAGTCTTGAGTTGGATTTGGGGTGCTTGGCAGCCTAGAGGTGGGAGTGGAGAGCCAGCAGCCAGAAGGTTGTGGGTTCAAATCGCCCTTAAAAATCACTTATTTTTCACAGTTAGAGGTGTAAAATTCTTAGACAATGCCTAAAGACTGAGTTGAAAAGAGTCATTGTGTACATTTGAACTAATTCCAAACTATGAATGTCCAGCTCACAGTCGTCCTGTGGCCAGAAACTGACTAATAAATAATAAATAAATGCAAAACACACTGAAAAGACTGCAAGAAAAAGAGAGAACAGTTAATGGCACTAGAAAAGGAAATTGGAAGGCTAGAGCTCTCTAAATCTATTTCTCTAAAATATACTTGAGTCTGTGTGCACTGCTGTGCGATAGAAATGTATTATAGAAGCTTATTTTCCTTTGTTGAGCTCTTAAGAAGGTATTAAAATGTATTTAATTGCGTAGCAACCCTGAAATCTGGAAGGATCAGCACATGTGTAATCTGTTGAATTTGGGGATCTCCATTTTGACTATTATTTATATTTTAGTAGAGTTAAAGGGCCCGAATCATAGAAGACCAAATTTTACGCCACGCTGTGCCTTTCTGATGAAACTATCCAGTGGAAAAGTTGTAATAGATGTAATTCGGCTCTGTTTGGGTTAAATTCATATGTTCTGATAGTGCCCCCATATTACGTACGTTGTCTGTTCTCTTTAATGTTGACATTCCTTTATGTCCAGGTTTGCTTTTACTAGGTGATGATTGTAATGTAACTCCTAATTCACTGCAAAAAGAGTTTTAATGGCAGCTTTAACAGCTTCCAAGAAGTCTATTTTGAAGGGTTGGTTTGCGTCAGATATTCGGTTATCTTCATCTTGGCATTGCTATTTTTTTTTTGATAATCTTATTTTGGAACTGGCTACAGCTGAATTTCACAAGGCGAAGGCTGCCACAGTTCAGAACTGGTCAAATATTATTGCCTTTGACAGGGCCTTGTAGGGCCAGAGTATTCTAATTTAATATAATATTTCTTTTAAGTTTCATTGTTTGATTGCTGGTCTATGGGCATGATGAAGATACCATCAATAACAGCCCCCACCCCCAATATCTGTTTTTATTGTTGCATCTTAAGCGTGTCTGTATGTTATCAAAAATCAATAAATATTCATTAACAAAAAAAAAAGAAAAACAAATTTTCTAGCATTATTGTGATAAGAGCTGAATATTGTATGCAAACACTGTGAAAGCTTCTAAACATACAGTTCATTCCTCAGTCCATACAGTCCATATATGGAAACTAAGCTGCAAAAACAGCTCATTTCAGAATCACTTTTGTGATGTTGAAAAACATGAACAGTTTAGCACTGTGCTTTCATATTGAAGTTATAAGGAGTGTTTCAGCCTCGACTGCTTTTTAAGTGAGCCGCGGCCAGAATACTTAGAATTTCCGTTATAAGGGCTCAATACCAAAAACAGCGCGTTTAATTTTACATATAGAGAGGATGAAAAATGGTCATGTAAAAATGAATTTTGACTCTTTTTGGTATCAAACTATCAAAATATTGTAGGATAAGCAATTGGTCACTGCAGATAGATGAAATCATGTATTTTTCACAGTTAGAGGTGTAAAATTCTTAGACAATGCCTAAAGACTGAGTTGAAAAGAGTCATTGTGTACATTTGAACTAATTCCAAACTATGAATGTCCAGCTCACAGTCGTCCTGTGGCCAGAAACTGACTAATAAATAATAAATAAATGCAAAACACACTGAAAAGACTGCAAGAAAAAGAGAGAACAGTTAATGGCACTAGAAAAGGAAATTGGAAGGCTAGAGCTCTCTAAATCTATTTCTCTAAAATATACTTGAGTCTGTGTGCACTGCTGTGCGATAGAAATGTATTATAGAAGCTTATTTTCCTTTGTTGAGCTCTTAAGAAGGTATTAAAATGTATTTAATTGTGTAGCAACCCTGACATACCAGAAACAGCCTGTATAATTTTACATATAGAGAGGATGGAAAATGGTCATGTAAATGGTCATTGACTCTTTTTGGTATCAAACTATCAAAATATCGTAGCAATTGGTCACTGCAGATAGATGAAATCACATATTTTTCACAGTTAGAGGTGTAAAATTCTTAGACAGTGCCTAAAGACTGAGTTGAAAAGAGTCATTGTGTATATATGAACTAATTCCAAACTTTTTGGTATCAAAATATCATAGTATAAGCAATTGGTCACTGCAGATAGATGAACTTTTCTCCAGTTGGAGACACAAATTTTGTGTTTGACAAAAGTAATGTAGAGATATAATGAACCGAAACACCAAATGTAATCTCTTTCCTGACCCCTGGTTAACCGAATAGCCATTCATTAACTCTTGCGGATACTCAAACATCAAAATTATTTAGAATGCATATTGTGAAATTCACTCTGAAAGTGTTCTTTTGTCTCCAGTCAGACTAAAATCTGGCATCTAAAAACACTGTAGATGCTCATTACTGTGGATATGGCTGTGTATGTTAAGGTGATCCCTAAAGCTAACTCGATTTCTCTTTGTGACCTTACAGAAAAGGTGACTGAGATTAAGACGAATATCTTTGTCACCAGCTTTGGCCCTGTGTCAGACACTGAGATGGTAAGCTTATCCTTCGGCCATAAAAAAAAAGATCATTTGTGTCCATAATTAGCTCCAGGCAACCAAGTCCTCCATCGTCACACTCCCACCAAAGCACCATTTGCCACACAAGTTTCTTCTCTCCATTATTGTTGTTTATTTCCATTTCTCATTGCCTAGTGCTAGGTCGGCTGCTGGATTAGCTGATGGATGGCGGTAATATTGCTCATTTCCATATTCAGCAGCTCAGCTATGTCATGTAATTTGGTTCTCACTTCAAGATGTGCTCTAAATGCCCCATTGCTAACGCCTGCTTTCCTCCGCAGGAGTACACAATCGATGTGTTTTTCCGCCAAAGTTGGAAGGACGAGCGCTTGCGCTTTAAGGGGCCCATGGGGATGCTGCCTCTGAACAACCTGCTGGCTAGTAACATCTGGACCCCTGACACCTTCTTCTTGAATGGCAAGAAATCCATTGCTCACAACATGACCACACCCAACAAACTGCTGAGGCTGCAAGACGACGGCACGCTGCTATACACTATGAGGTGAGGCTTTCTGAACATAGTGTAGAACAGAAGCAGGGGAGATCGTGGCACAACCACACATATTCTGGTTTGTGCTGAATAATTTTTAAATTATTTAAGCAAGATTAACATTTTGCTATATACGCAACCTACATATCTCTGCTACAAATGAAAATGTGAACTTGTTTCAAGCACCTACTGTTTGAGAACAGTGCAGCTGAATGCAGTGTTAATGTTACCTATGTTAAAACTAACCCTGCTATAAGTAGACTGCAATTTAGCCTGGCTAGCATTCACTATGTTTAATTTACATTCTTCATGTTGGTGCTATATTACATCAAGTAATTTAGCACGCCACTCTCTGCTAACTGAATGTCTTACATACCTGACATTGACTGTTTTGATTGGACTGTTTTTTCTGTTTACTTTAAAATTACACCATAGGAAGCCTTACACCGATCAGGCATAACATTATGACCCCCTCCTTATTTCTACGCTCATTGTCCATTTTATCAGCTCCACTATATAGGTGCACTTTGTAGTTCTGGTGGTGGATCATTCTTAGCACTGCAGTAACACTGATGTGGTGGTGGTGTTAGTGTGTGTTGCACTGGTCTGAGTGGGTCAGACACAGCAGTGCTGCTGGAGTTTTTAAACACTGTGTCCATCCTCTAGTCATCCTCTAGTCCTTTATCAGTGGTCACAGGACGCTGCCCACAGGACGCTGTTGGCTGGATATTTTTGGTTGGTGGACTATTCTCAGTCCAGCAGTGACACTGAAAACTCCAGCATCACTGCTGTGTCTGATCCACTCAGACCAGCACAACACATACTGACACTCCACCATCATATCATACTGCAGTGCTGAGAATGATCTACCACCCAAATAGTACCTGCTCTGTGAGGGTCCATGGGTGTCCTGACTACTGCCGAACAGGGCAAAAGGGGGCTAACAAAGTATGCAGAGAAACAGATGGACTACAGTCTGTAATTGTAGAACTACAAAGTTCACCTATATAGTAAGTGGAGCTGATAAAATGGACAATGAGCGTAGAAACAAGGAGGTGGTCATAATGTTATGCCTGATCAGTGTATACTGTAGATAGCTACATGGTTAACAAGCCTGGAAATTTACAACTTATGTAATTTATACATATTTTAAACTGTTCTTTCAAAACATTCTGAAGCAGCAAATGACACACAGTGCAGTTAACTGACATGTGTAAAATGCACAAAATAGAATTTCAGCGGTTTTCATGGATATAATGCTTGTTATCTAGCAATACAGCCAAAAATGCAAAGAGTCAGTATAATGATGTAACACCAATACCAGTATACCTGTATATATGATATATTGCCTGGCACTAGGAGTACCCCACAATTAAATTATCCCAAATCTAACAAGCTTTTACTCTTATTCCACTCCATGCATTCAGCCTGGCACTGACTGAAGAGTGGATGTTATAAATATGTGCGTCATCAGTGAGCAAACTGGTAATTCTTGTCAAACCCAGTTTGAGAAGAACAAAATCATCTTCTACATCAAGAAAAGTTTGCAAAACCGACAGCTGTTCTGTTGTAACTGATAATGCAGCAGCATCAGTGCTAGTCAGGAGCTTCAGATGTTGTTACGGTTTCCTTTTGGATTTGAAATATCATCAGCTAGTAAGCTGTCCCTGTAGCTCATCACGGCAACGGGTCCAGCTAAAAATGTCCTGAAAGACACTGTTCAGTTGAAAAATGTACGCAGTTTTAAGTAAGGCATTGTATGACGTACTATTTTATAGATAACAGTATATCATAAAGTCTAAGAAACCACACAAGTGAGTAAAGTCGTATGCAAAAGTTTGAACACCCTGGTGAAATTACATGTTTTGTTGATTTTCTAAGTGAAAATAAGTTCCATCTTCTAAAGAGAACACACTTAAATCTGTCTGCACAGTTTAGTGCACAATTTCTGAGTTTAACATATTGGGAAAATACATAAAACATAAAATGCAAAAACGTTTGCAGAAGACACATTTTATGTTTTATTTTTTCCAAAAATGTTAAAGTATTACGCTTACCTTATAGCTCCAGTTCAAAACTAAGACTAAATTCCAATTTTTTTATTCATTTCTTTATTTTACCACTGTAGAACAGGAGCCTTTTCTGCTCAGGCTATGCACAGGCAGCTTAGTCCAGAATTAGAAAAGAGCTGTAATAGTTGGCACAGTCGTGGATAAGCACACTCTCACTTTGTTTCTATCTCTCTCTCTCTCTCTTTCTCCCAACCTTCACCTCTTTAGACCTTCCAGAGCATCATGTGATAGATGTGTTTAGCACATACGCTTTTGGCCCTCAGTTCCAACACTGTGCAGTACTTATGGGAATAGCACAGAACGTACTAAAGGCCTCAAAACCAGGACTCAGCAATTTTTTCTTGTGTAGGCTGTGTCCTAAAATAACACACCTGCAAATATTAGCCTCTTTACCGGTATATAAACACTATTACTTGATCTTATGCCGTCTGCCATTGTTAATGAAACAGATGCAGTGCACTAGAATAATGGCCTTTTCTTTTCCACAGGGTTGAATTTCATTGTGAGAATGTAGGCTTATTGTGGAAATAGCCTTGAGTTTAAAATGGCTAATAATGCATATACAGGCATGTGCGTGTGTGTGAGACCAGTGAATAACCCTATGGGGACATGATACAAAGCTTTTGTGCTCCAAACATATCAGCCTCAGTGATTAACATTCGGGCCACGTGGAGTTAAGAAGGGGCCATATCATGGAAAACTGAATTTTCCTCACTTTTTTGAAATAAGAGTTTGATGTAGTGTGTAAACATTGGTAAAGTTTTAAAACATACTGTTCCATGGAGACCATATATCGCTGTTGTCTGAACAAAACCTCGTATCTCCAAAATGGTAACTTTACAGGAGAAGGAAAAAAACAAACTTTCAGTGTATTTCCAATGTATTTCAATGCATATTCAATGGAACCAGACTTTTTGTCCAGGTAATTTTGGGCCATTTTTTTGGTCCATTCATCATGAAATTTACACACAATGTAAAAGGCAACAGGTATTTTCAAATTATGTCAAAAACTGAAAAAAACAGCAGCGATATGCAAACTAAGCTGATAAAATCTGTTTTGAATTCACTGTTTAGGTGATTTCATGCAAACCAACACATTTACATACATCCACCGATTCAGCCAACAGCACTTTAGCTCGCCCATTCATGTTGAACTTATAAGGAGTGTTTCAACCTACACTGCACAGTAAAGTGCAGCCAATCATATCAGAGCTCAATTACGTAATCTTTGTCCAAAAAGAATAATATGATATGGACCCTTTAAAGAAAAGAGTCCTTTTTCAAATTCTTTTATTTTTGCTTTTTTGTATTTGTTATGAATTTATTCAGTCTTTCATGGTTTTATGGCAGGCTAGGAAAATTGAGAGAGGGAGAGAGAGAGAGAGAGGGAAAGAGAGGAGAGGAATAGCAGCAGAGATATAAAGAGCTTGTGTGAGTATATGTTTTGCGCTTGTGTTGTGGAGTTTTTCTCTGTGGACTGTCTGCTCCATTAACCGCACTATAAGGGCACATACCCACACACACACACACACACACACACACACAGAAAAATATAGACAAAGCCATACGCACACACTTCCAAAAACTCTCTCTTTCTCTCTCTCTCTCTCTCTCTCTCACACACACACACACACACACAAACACACACTCATTCCTGCTTTCATCAGCAACATTCTTCTGCTCAACTTCTGCTCTGCTCACTGCTGTATTAGCAGACAATCACAGCCTCTACTGTACTACCAGGTTTGTAGAGGGTGAAGAAGCTAATACCATAATAAAAAGGTTCTATACAAATGCAAGGTTTCTTCCTAGAACCTTTACATTATGTGGAGATTCAACTTTAAAAAAAGCTTCTTCATACTCAACACATCTCATTTGCCAAAATGATCCTACACAAAAACCACCCATCGAATGTTTTTAGGAAACCAAAAGTGGTTCTTCTGTGGTGCCACACAAAAACCATTTTTGGTACCTTTGTTTTTAATAATGAAGGCTACCAAAAACACGTATTTTCTAGGAGAACCTGCCTGACTGATAGCAGTGTGGGGCATTGATATGTCAAAGCATAGTCCGGAGATAAAGGGGATGCTTGTGTGTTATTCACTTTAAGAGAAAGTTATTTAACCCCTTAAACTTAGAGATGGATGAATCGAAAGATTCCAGTCACAGTATTTTAACTGTATTATGGTATAGTCATAAAACTGGCACTAATCACAGTTTGGCATTAATAATGTTAATGAGTTGTCCCTGAGTGCTAATATGCTCTGGACTAAACTAAAGGAATCTAATCACAGTATTGTAAACATAAACCAGGCAGAAACTACATTTTCAGAAGGAAAGTACTATTTATTTTGTTTTTTATGGATGTTAAATTTTCTTTTGAAACAATCTGATGCTTCCATCAAAAGACAAATTGCAAGTAACGCTCACGTCTTGGCAACTGGAGCACCACTGCTGTATCAGCATTATGTCCTAGATATTATGCTAGGTAGTTATCAGATACTTTCTGAAATATTGCTAAAACTATAGAATGTATATCGCCCAGCTCTGTTTAAACTATGGACTTATTACTTAATTATAACTTAAAAGACTTATAATTTAGTAACTACTCATTAATTATTCTAACTACTACTAATTATTCTGTAACTGTTATGTAGTTACGAAAGTAAGGAATTAAAGTGTGGGACACATACAGATGTTGCAGTTTAATATTATCAACATTATCTACTTATTTAGAGCATTTTGCAGGGTACAGTGTCTTGTAATTACAAACAGTAAACTGTGTAGAACATTTGAGAAAAGTCCACTTAAAGATAATCTCGTATTATCTTTTTTTTTGCCTTATAACAATTCCATACAATTATGTAAGGCTAGAAGAGATCAACATCTTATAACACAGCCATCAAGTCATTAATGCAATCATTTGTTCTTGTTTGTTAG